GCTGCCACCCGCTTCAGATGCTTCTTGGGACCACGAGCCATGGCTGCGTTAGGCAAGGAAAGAGCAGAACATAGTTTTTTAACCACCTCTCTATTGATTTTCTCTTTTTTCTTTCTTTCTTTCTTTTTTTTTTTTTTGTTTGAGATGGAGTCTTGTTCTGTCACCCAGGCTGGAGTGCAGTGGCACAATCTCGGCTCACCACAACCTCCACCTCTAAGGTTCAAGAGCTTCTCGTACCTGAGTCTCCCAAGTAGCTGGGATTACAGGTGTGCACGACCACAGCTGGCTAATTTTTGTATTTTTAGTAGAGATGGGGTTTCGCCATGTTGGCCAGACTGGTCTCAAACTCCTGGCCTCAAGTGATCCACCCTTCTCGGCCTCCCAAAGTGCTGGGATTACAGGCATGAGCCACCACACCTAGCCAAGTATAGGATTACAGGCATGAGCCACCACACCTAGCCTAGAATAAATTTCTTAAAGTGAAACTGTTAGGCCAAAGAAATAGATTTTTGAACATTTGTTATATATTATAAACTTACCCTCAGAAACCGTGTTCCGGGAACTCTTGTTTTCCCATATCTTTACCAGCTTTGGGTACCAGTCTTTTAAATGTTTGCCAAATTGATATGGGGAAAGTCGTTTAAAAAATATGTTTCTTGGCCTGGCACAGTGGCTCATGCCTGTAATCCCAGCACTTTGGGAGGCCAAGGAGGGTGAATCACCTGAGGTCAAGAGTTTGAGACAAGCTTGGCCAATATGGTGAAACCCCGTCTCTACTAAAAATATGAAAAAATCAGCTGGGTGTAGTGGTTTGCTCTTGTAGTCCCAGCTGTTTGGGAGACTGAGGCAGGAGAATTGCTTGAACCCAGGAGGTGGAGGTTGCACTCCAGCTTGGGCTACAGGGCAAGACTCCATCTCAAAAAAGTTTCTTTATTAGTATAATTTTTTAAACAGCTTTAATGACATGTAATCCATATACCTTAAAATATATCCTTTTAAAGTGTACAATTCAGTGATTTTTAGTGTATTCACAGAGTTTTGCAGCCATCACCACTATCTAATTTTAGAATATTTCCATCACCCCAAAAAAGAAACCCCCACCTCACAATGACCTTCAGAATATTTAAAATGTCTGCTCCTTCACTGTCACTTTTCAAATCTCATGCAAATTTTTCTTGTGGTCAACTATAACCTTGTACCCTATGGAGAAAGTAATTCTGGGTTCTGGGAAACAGAGTTCCAGGTTTTTTTTTTTTGTTTTTTTTTTTAAAAAACTCTCTTTTCTGCTGGGCACAGTGGCTCACACCTGTAATCCTTGCACTTTGGGAGACCGAGGTGGGTGGATCACCTGAGGTCAGGAGTTTGCAACCAGCCTGGCCAACATAGTGAAACCCCGTTTCTACTAAAAATACAAAAAAAATTAGATGGATGTGGTGGCGGGCGCCTGTAATCCTAGCTACTTGGGAGGCTGAGGCAAGAGAATCACTTGAACTGGGAGGCGGAGGTTGCAGTGAGCTGAGGTCATGCCACTGCACTCCAGCTTGGCCAGCAGAGTGAGACTCCATCAAATTATTTTAAAAAAAGCACTTATTCTTTAGAAGCTTGGCATAATCATGTAATAATTTTCATTTGTATCATGGAGGCCAATCGTTTTGCAAAAATAATATAATTAACTATATAAATATTTGCTAAAAATGGAAATTCTAATTTTGACATGTCGAATACCTGGTAAATCAGTAGTTTGATTTATGTTTTCCAGAAGATACATAATGGGTAAACTAAATACTCTCTAAAGCAGCACTGTCCAGTAGCACTGAAGGAAAGATGAAAATGTACAGTCTAGTACAGTAGCTGCATGGCTGTTCACTTGAAATACAGCGAATGCTACTGAGTACTGGATTTATAGTTTTAATTTAACTTTTAAAAGCTACACATGGGCCAGGCACTGTGGCTCATGTCTACAATCCCAGCACTTTGGAAGGCCGAGGTGGGAGGATCACTTGAGGCCAGGAGTTCAAGGTTAGTCTAGACAACATTGCAAAACCCTGTCTCTACAAATAATTTAAAAATTAGCTAGACATGCTGGTGCATACCTATAGTTCCAGCTACTAGGTAGGCTGAGGCAGGATGATTGCTTGAGCCCAGGACTTCAAGGCAGTAAGCTATGATTGTGCCCCTGCACCCCAGCCTGGGTGACAGAATGAGACCCCCTCTCTAAGAAATATTCTTTTAAAAGGCTACCAATTTAAGTTCCTGCTTAGCTTATTCTTAGGTGCCTGATGTGAGGTAACAAAGGGAGAATGCCCTACGGTATGTAAGGGGAGAGGAACTAGAAGAAAATTATGTCATCACCTTGGTATCTAATTGAGATCTAGGTGGATCACAGATTTTTCCTTTGTGGCTAAATAGAAATTTTGGCCAGGCATGGTGGCTCACGCCTATAATCCCAGCCCTTTGGGAGGCCGAGGCAGGCAGATCACGAGCTCAAGAGATCGAGACCACCCTGGCCAACACCGTGAAACTCTGTCTCTACTAAAAATACAAAAAAAATAGCCGGGCGTGGTGGCACGTGCCTGTGGTCCCAGCTACTCAGGAGGCTGAGGTGGAAGAATTGCTTGAACCCAGGAGACGGAGGTTGCAGTGTGCCAAGATTGCGCCACTGCACTCCAGCCTGGTGACAGAGCAAGTCTCTGTCTCAAAAAAAAAACTGCGTCTCAAAAAAAAAAAGAAAGAAAGAAATTTTAGGGTGTTACCAGTGCAATGGTAACAGTCAACCTTTTTTTCCTCAGGTTTTTTTTTTTGTGTTTTTTTTTTTTTTTTTGAGATGGAGTTTCGCTCTTGTTGCCCAGGGTGGAGTAAAATGGTGCAATCTTGACTCACTGCAACCTCCACCTCCTGGATTTAAGTGATTCTCCTGCCTCAGCCTCCAGAGTAGCTGGAGTTACAGGTGCCTGCCCCAATGCCTGGCTAATTTTTTGTATTTTTAGGACGGGGTTTCGCCATGTTGGCCAGGCTGTTCTTGAACTCCTGACCTTAGGTGATGTGCCTGCCTTGTCCCTGCAAAGCACTGGGATTACAGGTATGAGCCACCGAGCCCAGCCTGTTTCTGTTTTTTTTTTTTTTTTTTTTTTTTTTAAAACTCGTTTTTCCCCTCGTTACCCAGGCTGGAGTGCAATGGCACCATCTCGGCTCACTGCAACCTCCGCCTCCTGGGTTCCGGCAATTCTCCTGCCTCAGCCTCCTGAGTAGCTGGGATTACAGGCACACACCACCATGCCCAGCTAATTTTTTTTGTATTTTTAGTAGAGACGGGGTTTCACCATGTTGACCAGGATGGTCTCGATCTCTTGACCTCGTGATCCACCCGCCTCGGCCTCCCAAAGTGCTGGGATTACAGGCTTGAGCCACCATGCCCGGCCTGTTTCTCTTTTCTTATGTAAAAAATTCATTTTCAGAGTAAACAACTTTTTCTTACTGTTTTTCATGGAATTTTGTTATCAGTTTTAGCTTGCAATATTAACTCTTTTTTCTGGAGGGAAGATCTGTATTAGAAGCATATATAAAGTAACCATTTCTGGAAATTTTGGGGTGGAAAAATAACAGATCTGACTTCTATGTTAAGTCAGCCTTAAACACTTTTGTTTTCCCTGTTTTATTTAAAATTATTATCTTTCAAAACCTGGAACCTTTTTTGTAGGTCAGTATTTATTCCAGTATTTATTAGAATTAACAGTATGAAACTTTGAGGGCCACCTGTGAGTTCCAAAGCAACTCCTGTGGCTGTTACTAGCCGCCTAGCATAATCATAATTTGGAGTCATTTGACCTGACTACTAGGATTTTTTTTTTCCTAGTTCATCTACTTATATTGTACTTTCTTTATGATTTTAAGTCTCTCCTCATAATTTGTTGCCTCAGTTTCTTTTTTTCCTATAAGATTATAAACTAATACTATATTTGCGCCCTTCCTAAAAATGTAAACATTGAGGTATTTATTAAGGATTTGATATTCCTTTGAATAAAAATATTCTGGGGAGGCAATAGTGATAAAGAACATGGACTCAGGCCAGTTGCAGTGACTCATGCCTGTAATCCCAGCACTTTGGGAGGCTGAGGCAGGTGGATCACTTGAGGTCAGGAGTTCAAGACCAGCCTGGCCAACATGGTGAGCCCCCGTCTTTACTAAAAATACAAAAATTAGCCAGCTGTGGTGGCAGGCACCTGTAATCCTAGCTACTTGGGAGGCTGAGGCAGGAGAATCGCTTGAACCTCGGAGGTGGAGGTTGAAGTGAGCTGAGATTGCGCCACTGCACTCCAGCCTAGGCAACAGAGCAAGACTCAATCTTTCTTTTTTCTTTTTTGAGACAAGGTCTTGCTTGATCACCAGGCTGGAATACAGTGACACGATTACGGCACACTCCTGCCTCAACCTCCTGGGCTCAAGCAATTCTCCCACCTCAGCCTCCTGAGTAGGAGGGACTACAGCTGTGTACCACCATGCCCAGCTAATTTTTTAAAAAGTTTTTTGTAGGTCAGGCACAGTGGTCCATGCCTATAATCCCAGCACTTTGGGAGGCTGAGCCAGGAGGATCGCTTGAGCCTAGGAGTTCAAGATCATCCTGGGCAACATAGCAAGACCCTGTCCCTTAAAAAAAAAAAGTTTTGTGAGTTAGATGTGGCAAACTCCTCTAGTCCCAGCTATTCAGGAGGCTGAGGTGGAAGGATTGTGTGATTTTAGGACTTGAAGGTCAACCTGGGCAGCCTAGCAAGACCCCATCTCTAAAGTATGAAAATAAAATATTTTATGATCAGTAGAATCGTGTTTTCAGATAACTGCATATTTTATGGGTAGATTTTTAAAGTTTTTTTATCAGAAAAATTTTTATTACATAAATGGCCGTCTTAAATAGGTAGATTATTTTCAGATTACCAAAATCACAAGACTTTACTTGATAATTTTTAAAGAGACTCACCTAATTTTCTTGCATTTTGTTTTTATAGGTAATTTTAACCAATCAGATGACAACAAAGATTGATAAAAATCAGGCCTTGCTCATTCCTGCATTAGGTGGGTAATCAATGAGATAAACATTTTAGTTAATCACAGTTTTTCCTATCTCTTATTTGATTCTCATTGAGTACTGTAAGCTCCATGAAAGCCGACTGTATTTGTCTTGTTCACTGGTTAATCTTAGCACTAAGTACAGCACCCTTAGATACTGACTGTTTCTTTTAGTTACTTAACATTGAATGACCAGACGCAGCATCTCACACCTGTAATCCTAGCACCTTGGGAGGCTGAGGTGGATCACTTGAGGCCAGGAGTTCAATAATAGCCTGGCCAATATGGTGAAACCCCATCTCAACTAAAAATACAAAAAATTAGCCAGACATGGTGGCACACAATTGTAATCCCACTAACTTGGGAGGCTGAGGCATGAGAATTGCTTGAACCTGGAAGATGGGGCTGTGAGAAGCTGGAATCATGCCACCGCACTCGAGCCTGGGTGACAGAGCGAGACTGTCTCAAAAAATTGAGGATCTACTATCTAGCAACTACTGTGTCAAAGATTCTTGCCCCCGGAGAATTCACAGTGTTAGGCAGAAGGAGGGGTGAATCCACTTAAATCACACTACAGTGAATATCGTGGTTTTGTTAGAATGCAATGCTTCAAGATGTATGTCCACTAAAATCTTAAAGAATATTCTACCAGAGTTTTTACTTTTCTTCTGGAGGTCAGAAATAGGCTTGATGATATGGAAAATTGGCAAATATATAGACTCAGACTATTAAGGTTTCTCAAAGCAAATAGAGGATAATGATTTGCAATATTCCCCTAGATAGGTAAAAATCTTTTAATCTCAGGATGTTACTCATTTCCCAGGTTTTTTTTTTTTTAAAGCAAGTATACTTTTGTTATGTTAAATTAAAGTAAGATTATATTTGATCAGAGGCATTCTGAGAAATTTATAACCAAGTAAGTAAGGCAATATACAGTTATTATGTTCTTTACTCCAGGGGAAAGTTGGGGACATGCTGCTACAATACGGCTAATCTTTCATTGGGACCGAAAGCAAAGGTCAGTATAGAAACAAGTTAATAATTCTGAATATTGGGTTAATTATACTGAATGAACACTTAGAAGTTTCTTAGAGCTAGTCCTGTGGGTTAGATATACAATGATCTATATTGTTGTCTTGTCTGATATCACCTAGAGGAAACATAGAAATGTGGTGTTATTACTGCACATTTAGCTACATAGGAAATAATCTGGAATATTTAAATGATGGGGTGCATGTACCTGAAACGAGTAGGTGGCCAAGGAATGCCATTTTCTAAAGCTCTTTGAAATCATTTATTAGCCATGTAGAAGGAGGTTAGTACTCTATGTTCCTGGAAGAGATTGAAAAGAAAGAATAAAATCAGGACAAAAGGAAAATTGTTGAACTTAGCTTTAAAATTAATTTATTTGGAAGATAGGATTGTTTTTCTCAGTTGCTTAGTGTATTTCTTGTATGAAATTGTGTCTGTTATTTTTTTTCTTTTGGATTTTGCTGTCTGGCTTTTATTATCCAGTTTCACAAGTATTGTTCTTTAAAAGTATGGCAGCATGAAATCTTTGTATTTGTTTTTAAAGCAGCTGAGCAAGTGAACAAAGCAGCTTTTATTTTCTTGAAAATAGGCCATTGAAAGCTGTGAAGTCTTTCCTACACTTATAGAAAATGTCAGATTTATGCTAGCCTCTCTGCTTTGTGATTAATTAGTATAACCTAGAGATCTTGGTTTGGAAATGCTCTAATAAAGGGAGAAATTACGTTAGCATGCAAGCAAAGATGGACTAAAGGGCCACTTCAATACATATTGGGCCTAGCCAGTGAAATTGTCTGTTTTTTAATCTGCATTTCTTTGTTGTTCTACAAACAAAAAAATCCTGCCTGACCAAGTTAGGTTTTACTGACCTGAAGCTCGTATCATAATTGATTATACTTCTGTATATATCTTTTGCAACTGATCATGCAGTTTGTGTCTACTTTAAAAATGGTATTTCCAAAGAGATCAGGTAATGTTTTTCCCCCCAGCAATACGTAGTACTTTACTATTGACTACCTCCCCCAAATTTAAACAGATTTTTTACTCTAAACCAATATGACTGTTAAATTTGCCTCTTAATTTTTTTTCTATGATCACAAGTTAAGATAGTTCCCCTAAGTTTGTAAGTAAGTCACTGTCTACTAGATTCACAAAAAGAGTTCTTTTCTCAGCACCAAACCTTATTATAAAGATTTGGCAACAGTTCTCCAGCTAAGAGTCTTTTGAACATATTCTTATACTTTCCCAGTTTTAGATTATTCTGTAAAGCACATTCCATCATTTATTTTTTCTTAGGAATTCTGCCTGAGCTAGTATACAGTAAGTAGTCTTCTTCAGACTATAATTCACTAATCACTTGAACTAGGGAGGTGGAGGTTGCAGTGAGCTGAGATCATGCCACTGCCCTCCAGCCTGGCAACAGAGTGAGACTCTGTCTCAAAAGCAAGCAAAACAAAACAAAAAAACAAGAAAATGATGCACAACACCAATATTGAATATAGATAGATTTGGGAGAAATCTGTTCTATAATATTTTTTCTACATTGCATAATATTTTATTTTTTTAATTTTTATTTATTTTTCATACTGTCATTTTAGTCAGTGCTTGCTTGTGCTAGGTATTTTACTAGGCACTTTATTTTTTCTTTTTTTGAGACAGAGTCTCGCTCTGTCACATAGGCTGGAGTGCAGTGGCACGATCTTGGCTCACTGCAACCTTCGCCTCCCAGGTTCGAGCGATTCTCCTGCCTCAGCCTCCTGAGTACCTGGGACTACAGGCGCATGCCACCACGCCCAGCTAATTTTTGTATTTTTCGTAGAGACGGGGTTTCACCATATTGGCCAGGATTATCTCAATCTCTTGAGCTTGTGATCTGCCTGCCTCAGCCTCCCAAAGTGCTGGGATTACAGGCGTGAGCCACCGTGCCTGGCTCACTAGGCACTTTAAATACAACATTTAAGATAATCTTTTCAATAATTATTTACAGAACCTATACCTATTATTTTAATCTTTTTTTAATCTTAGCCTATACCCTGACCTATTATTATTAAAAGTCAGAAAACCAAGGCCCAGAAAAGTTAACTGAATAAATAAGTAGTAAATAATAGCTACTATTTATTGAATATTTATTAACTGGCCTTTATTGTGCAAAGTACTTTGTGTGGGGGGGTATGTGTGTGTGTGTGTAATTTTTATTTTCCACATAATTCTATGAAATTGTATTATCAGATGAGATCAGGCAGGTTCATGGTGGTATGCCTGTAGACTGAAATAGTATTATCTACATTTTATAGCTGACTTTGTAAACCATTTTTTTTTTTTTTTAGAGGGAGTTTCAAAAAAACTTTTTGAAACTCTTTTTGTCCAGGCTGGGGTGCAATGGCGAGATCTTGGCTCACTGCAACCTCCGCCTCCCAGGGTCAAGTGATTCTCCTGTCTCAGCCTCCTGAGTAGCTGGGATTACAGGTGCCTGCCACCATGTCTGGCTAATTTTATATTTTTGGTAGAGACAGAGTTTCACTATGTTGACCAGGCTGGTCTCAAACCCCTGACCTCAGGTGATCTGCCCACCTCAGCCTCCCAAAGTGCTGGGATTACAGGCGTGAGCCACTGCACCCAGACATAGCCGACTTTATAATAGAGTGTGTTCCTTTTCTCCTATAATAACTGTTCCTAGAAGGTAATTGTAGTATTGTATTGATTGCCAGCCAATCTGAATATGTAGCTTATTGCCTTTTTTAGGTAAAATCTTTTTTCTTCAAGTCTTTCTTTTTTTTTTTTCAGGCTGTGGATATATGATAAATAATGTACATACTTTATGTAATCAAAATAAACTGACCTCATTTAATAGAGTAGTTTTGCTCTTTATCATTTGAAGCCAGACATCTTTAAGTTATTAAAGTTGCATGAGCTTGAGCCCCAGAAGTTGGAGAACAGCCTGGGTAAGATGGCAAGACACCATCTCTACAGAAAAACAAAAAATTAGCCAGGCATGGTGGTGCACACCTATAGTCCTAACTACTTCGGAGGCTGAGGTGGGAAAATCACTTGAGCCCAGGAAGTCAAGGTTGCAGTGAGTTAATGATTGCGCTATTACACTTTAGGCTGGGCCACAAAATGGGACCTCGTCTATAAGATATTAAAAAAAAAAAAAAAAAGTTACATGGGGCCGGGCTCAGTGGCTGATGCCTCTAATTCCAGCACTTTGGGAGGCCAAGGCACCAGAGGTCAGAAGTTCGAGAACAGCCTGGCCAACATGGCAAAACCCTGTCTCTACTAAAACTACAAAAATATTAGCAAGGCATGGTGGTGGGTTACTTTAATCTCAGCTCCTCAGGAGGCTGAGGCAGGAGAATTGCTTGAACCTAGGAGGCAGAGGTTGCAGTGAGGTTGGGCAGCAGAGCGAGACTCCATCTCAAAAAAAAAAAAAAAATGTTGCATGAAATTTTGTATGCTTTATGCTTTAAAAACTTTATTTTAAAAGGATGAAAATGGAAATTCATATCAGGGAAAAATAGTTATAAAGATGAACACTTTTCATTTGGATAGGAAGACTAAAAATCTTTTTTTTTTTTTTTTTTTTCCTGACACAGGGTCTTGCTTTGTTGTCCAGGCGGGAGTGCAGTGGTGCAGTAGTATGATCTCAGGTTACTGCAGCCTCAACCTCCTGGGCTCAAGCAGTCCTCCCACCTCAGCCTCCCAAGTAGCTGGGACCACAGACATGTACCACTACACCCAACTAATTTTTGTAGAAACAGGGTTTCGAGATGTTGCCCAGGGCAGTCTTGAACTCCTAAGCTCACGCAGTCCAGTCACCTTGGCCTCCCAAAGTGGTGGGATTGTAGGCATGAGCCACGGTACCCGTCCAGAAATAAAAATCTTAAATAGCCAAATTTATATTGGGAATTGAACTTAAGTGTACTATCTCATGCTCCAGACCCCATCCTTTACCAGTAACACCTGATTTTTACCCTTAGACTAATGATGGAATAATATTCCAACAGTTATTAAAATAAATACCTTTATCTGTGTCTTTATAATATGTGGGTTTTCCTCCAGTTTGCATATTCATGATTATATGAGGCCAAGATTATTCATAATTGCACTACTCTTTGCCAAGAAGATCTGGTGGTAGAGTAATAAATCAACACCCACACACAGTGTTTCATATGTGTGCTCAGTGTTAGAGCACAAATTGTGCTTCTGTCTTGTTTCTTCCTGACCTAAACTATGTAGTTCAGCCATATGTTAAGCCACATCTCAGCTGGGGCCATGAGCCAAGTGATTCTTTGGTTTAGTTTTTCATTTAAAAAGATCTCTAGCCAGGCGCAGTGGCTCACGTCTGTAATCCCAGCACTTTGGGAGGTCGAAGCGGGCAGATCACCTGAGGTTGGGAGTTCGAGACCAACCCGACCAACATGGAAAAACCCCATCTGTGATCAAAATACAAAATTAGCTGGGCATGGTGGCAAGTACCTGTAATCCCAGCTACTCGGGAGGCAGAGGCAGGAGAATTGCTTGAACCCAAGAGGCAGAGGTTTTGGGGGTGAGCCGAGATCGCGTCATTGCACTCCAGCCTGGGCGAGAAGAGTGAAACTGTCTCTGAAAAAAAAAAGATTTCTAAAAAGACATAATATATAAAAATGGTATTTTTACCTAGAAATTTGAGGTTGATTTTCAGCCTGAATAATTAATGCCCCTTTGACTTTAGGATTCTTTTTGTTTGTTTTTTGAGATGGAGTCTCACTCCGTCACCCAGGCTGGATTGCAGTGGCACAATATCAGCTCCCTGCAACCTCCACCTCCCTGGTTCAAGCAATTCTCCTGCCTCAGCCTCCCAAGTAGCTGGATTACAGGCATGTGCCACCACACCTGGCTAATTTTTGTATTTTTAGTAGAGATGGAGTTTGACTGTTTTGGCCAGGCTGGACTCGAATGCCTGACCTCAAGTGATCCACTCACCTCAGCCCCGCAATGTGCTGGGATTACAGATATGAGCCACTGTGCCCAGCTGACTTAAGGATTCTTAATAAGCATGTAAATGCTTCTTAAAGCTTATTACTTTTTAATAATTTCCTTGGGATAAATGTACTGGGTACCTTTTTTGGACATACTGTTGATATGAGGTGATTTGGATACTAGTAATTTTTTGGCAGGCCAGCTGATTTTTGTCATTCAAAAAGTGATTTCCTAATAAAGGCAGGTTAAAATACATCTTGCCTCTCTTTTTTTTTGTGAATTTTTGCATTAAAGATAGATTATCAACCCTAAAAGTTTATAATCCCACTCAACACATTCTGTTGCCCAGGCTGGAGTGCAGTGATGCAATCTTGGCTCACTGCAACCTCCGACTCCTGCTTCAAGCGATTCTCCTGCCTTAGCCTCCCGAGTAGCTGGGATTACAGTTGCACGCCACCACACCCAGGTAATTTTTGGTTTTGTATCTTTAGTAGAGACAGGGTTTCACCATGTTGGCCAGGCTGGTCTCAAACTCCTGATCTCGTGATCCGCCCACCTCGGCCTCCCAAAGTGCTCAGATTACATGCATGAGCCACCATACCTGGATCCACACAGCTATTTTTATATTACATATTACTTAGCAGTTATTTTGTTTATGTGTAAAGTTGCATTTATGGAGTATAGGACATTTTGGATTCTGCTGTTTTTGGTCTCTGTTTTTCTTTTGAATTGTGTCTGAGAAGAGGGGCAATTTCAAAATTAAGAGAGTAACAAATCATAGCCAGAATGTCCTTTTTGAATTGCCTTTGAAAGCAAATCATTATATTTTGTGTAAATAAATGACCCTTATAACTCTGAGAATCTTATTTTCCATTACTTTAGAATCTGTATTTTGTGTATTATATCAGGTTTTTTTTCCATCCAAGGGGCAGGAGCATATTATATCCGTTTTATTAAATTGTGGTTATATATATATAAAACATAAAATTTTCCACTTTGGCCAGGTGCGGTGGCTCATGCCTGTAATCCAAGTACTTTGGGAGGCTCAGGCGGGTGGATCACAAGGTCAGGGGATCGATACCATCCTGGCCAACATGGTGAAACCGCGTCTGTACTAAAACTACAAAAAAATTGGCTGGGTGTGGTGATGCACACCTGTAGTCCCAGCTACTCGGGAGGCTGAGGCAGGAGAATTGCTTGAACTCATGAGGCAGAGATTGCAGTGAGCTGAGACTGCGCCACTGCACTACAGCCTGGGCAACAGTGCGAGATGCTGTGTCAAAAATAAATTTACCACTTTAACAATTTTTACATATAGTTGATTGGCATTAAGTACATTAATATTATGCAACCATCATCATCCATTTTCAGAACTTTTTTCATCTTCCCATACTGAAACTCTGTACCCATTAAATGCTAACTCTCATTTTTTTTTACCCTTAGCCCCTGACAATCACCATTCTACCTTCTGTCTCTGAATTTGACTCGTCTACCTACCCCATATAATTGGAATCATACAATATTTGTTCTGGTGTGACTTATTTCACTTAGTATAATGTCTTCAAGGCTCATTATGTTGTAGCTTGTGTCAGAATTTTTTTCCTTTTTAAGTCTGAATAATATTCTATTGTATATACATACCACGTTTTGTTAATTCATCTGTGGATGCGTACTTGGGTGGCTTCTACATTGTGGCTATTCTGAATAAGTTACAGTGTATCAGTTTTAAAGTAAATCTTTTTTTGTTTGTTGAGACCGAGTTTTGCTCTTGTTGCATGGTCTGGAGTGCAGTGGTGTAGTCTCGGCTCACTCAAACCCCTGCCTCCCAGGTTGAAGTGATTCTGTCTCAGCCTCCCAAGTAGCTGGGATTACAGGCATATGCTACCACACCCAGCTAATTTTGTATTTTTAGCAGAGATGGGGTTTCTCCATGTTGGTCAGGCTGGTCTCGAACTCCTGACCTCAGGTGATTTGCCCACCTCAGCCTCTCAAAGTTCTGGGATTACAGGCTGAACCACCATGCCCAGCCTAAAGTAATTCTTAAAAGCAGTTTTGTTGTTGTCGTTGTTTGTTTGTTTGAGATGGAGTTTCACTGTTGTTGCTCAGGCTGGAGTACAGTGGCCTGATCTCAGCTCACTGCAACCTCAGCCTCCCGGGTTCAAGCAATTCTCCTGCCCCAGCCTTCTAAGTGAGATTACAAATATGCACCACCACACCCAGCTAATTTTGTATTTTCAGTAGAAATGGGGTTTATCCAGGTTGATCAGGTTGATCTCGAACTCCCAACCTCAGGTGATCCTCCCGCCTTGGCCTCCCAAAGTGCTGGGATTATAGACATGAGCCACCACATCTGGCCAAAAAGCCGTTTTAAAGGTTTTTGTTTATATTTGTTGCTGTTACAGTACTTGAATATAGTTAATAAGAGCTTAGAAATTTCTCAGCTACCTTCAGCTTTCAATTTTATATTATTTTGTATAAGACATAATAAAATCCCAGATACTGTTCTGTCATGACTTATTTTTGGGACATAATCATTTTATGTTGTTATTATTATTTTTGTAGAGATGGGGATCTCACTATGTTGCTCAGGATGGCTTCAAACTCCTGATCTCAAGCGATCCTCATGCCTTGGCCTCCAAAGAGGATTACAGACATGAGCCATATGATTTTAAAACAGTGTCTTCCTATCTTATTTTTATTGGTATAATATGAATAAGTGTTTCTCATTTATAGTATAAAAAATTATCACAATTCTTCAGCAATATTAAAAAAATACATGATTTACTAGAGAGTTTGGGAAATACAAGCAAGCAACCTTTACCTTGTGATAACTATTAACTTTTGATTGTAGTCTTCTATCAATTTTTTAGATGTCTGTATACATACTTATAAATATGATTATACAGTATAACTTATTTAGTATATTATTAATACTTTCCTATCTCATTGAGTATTTTCTTCCACCTTTAGTTTTGTTTTTTTGTTTTGTTTTGTTTTTTTGAGACAGAATCTTGCTCTGTTGCCCAGGCTGGAGTGCAGTGGCACAATCTCGGCTCACTCCAACCTCTGCCTCCTGAGTTCAAGCGATTCCTCTGCCTCAGCCTGCCGAGTAGCTGGGACTAGAGGTGCCTGCCACCATGCCTGGCTAATTTTTTTTTTTTTTTTTTTGAGACAGAGTCTTGCTCTGTCGCCAGGCACCAGGCTACAGTGCAGGGGCGCGATCTCGGCTCACTCCAACCTCCGCCTCCTGAGTTCAAGCAATTCTCCTGCCTCAGCCTCCCAAGTAGCTGGGACTACAGGCGCACACCACCACCCCCAGCTAATTTTTGTATTTTTAGTAGAGACGGGGTTTCACCATATTGGCCAGCCTGGTTTCAAACCCCTGACCTCATGATCTGCCCACCTTGGCCTCCCAAAGTGCTGGGATTACAGGTGTGAGCCACCACACCTGGCCTTCCACCTTTAGTTTTTAGCATAACTAATATCTTATATATAAGATAGTTTATTTAAATCAGTCATTGAACTTTTAAAATTTCACTCATGTAAACAACTCTGTTAAATACATACAGGTATTTAAGGGTGTATTTTAATATTTCTCTCTATTTTTGTCCTTACAGAAAAAAATAATAGATTTATTAATGTAATAAACCTGTACATTTAAATTATGAGTTTGGTCATTTGAACTTTCAATTAATTAAGTTCATGTGTTTGTATGATTTTTCTTTGAGCAGGTTGGCAACATTGTACAAGTCACCCAGCCAGAAGGAATCCACAGTACTGTTTCAAATCACAGTCAGTATTATTTGATTAGAGTGGGATTTTTATATTGGTGGGCAGTAATTATCTGAAGAGAGAATTTACAACTTGCTTCTGTTAACTTCTGTAGGCAGCAAGCATATTTGAGGACAGCTTTTGATGCTTAGAACATCGTCCCCAAAATAGTAATATACAGAATATTGTAGTCACAAATGGACTGAAATTTATTCTTAAGAACAGAGGAAATACTTATTTTCGGGTAGTGTGTTCCATGCCATATGTAATGTCAGGATATTAAAAATCTTTAAAGGGAAAGTTGTTGAAGATTTCCCGAAAAGAAAAAAATACTAATATTACTTATTTTGGTCTTGTAGGTATTATAGAGCTATTGTAGCCACCAAATATAGCCCACTTTAAGATGTTAATTTTTCTGTGAATTTACATCATAGAACACATATTTTTGGGTAAAATATGCATATTTATCAATAATGTTGAGGCCCAAGTATATTTTTGGCATCTCATTTTTCTTTTTTTTTTCTTTTTTTTTTTTTGAGATGGAGTCTTCTTGTATTGCCCAGAGTGGAGTGCAGTGGCGCAATCTTGGCTTACTGCAAACTCTGGCCCACTGGTTCAAGCAATTCTTCTGCCTCAGCCTCCCTAGTAGCTGGGATTACAGGCGTGTGCTAACACACCTGGCTAATTTTTGTATTTTTAGTAGAGACAGGGTTTTGCCATGTTGGCCAGCTGGTCTCAAACTCCTGACCTCAAGTGATTTGCCCATCTCGGCCTCCCAAAGTGCTGGGATTACAGGCATGAGCCACTGCTCGCGGCTTTATCTCATTTTTTTTAAGGACAAAAACAGAAATAGAGATTCTGAAACTGAATTATCCACCTAGACTTTGCACTATCCAGGTGCATTTGAAATATCCTAATTGGAAAACTTTAATGATGAAAATAAATCTGTAAAGTATCGAAGACTTAGGTTATTTCCTTTCAGTTCTTCTAACAAAGCTATTTTAAAGTTTGTTAGGATTATCCTTTAGAGACCATTTTTATAATAAAATGTTATTTCTGTGTGTGTATGCATGCATATAAATAAGTATATATAAAATATTCTAATATAGCCCAGGCTTAGACAAATACCCATGAGGTTTATCCTCTTCATTCACAGTGGGTGATAAATATCTATCTCAAGAACTAAGTAGCTTTCTTTTCTTTTCTTTTTTTGAGACAAAGTGTTGCTCTGTCACCCAGGCTAGAGTGCAGTGGCATGATCTTGGCTCACTGCAACCTCTGCCTCCCGGGTTCAAGCAATTCTCCAGTCTCAGCCTCCTGAGTAGCTGGGACTACAGGCATGCGCCAACATGCCCCGATAATTTTTGTATTTTTAGTAGAGATGGGGTTTCACCATGTTGGTCAGGGTGGTCTCAAACTCCTGACCTCGTGATCTGCCTGCGTCGGCCTCCCAAAGTTCTGGAGCTACAGGTGTGAGCCACCGCAACCCGGCCCTAGAACAAAGTAGCTTTCTTACCAATTACTTAAAAATATTTTGAAGATAGGTCTTTAAATGTTCTTAAAACATATTTTTATATTTATATTTTTTATCTTGCAGCCTCAGGGATTTAGAGATACTGTTATTACTTCTGCATGTTCATTGCAGACAGAAGATTCCTTGAATACCCGGAAACGGTCACGAGACACAGAGGAAGAATTATAACCCAGAAGCAAATCTCCAAGTATATAAATTTACTGATGCTGTGAAATCAATGTGTACAAGTAGACTTTTTACTTTAAGATATAAATAAACACTAGGGCATGAATGAATCCAGATTATATGAAGTGAATGGGAAAAATACCTAAAGAATATGATTTTCTGAAAGTTTTTGTAAAGCAGTATTCTGCAGTTATATTTTACCGTTTCCATTTTCAGTAACATTCAATAGAGATGATTATATTTCACAAATGTGGAAAGTTGATCTCATGTGGCCACTCCGAATTTAAACTGTTTTTACCCCTTTCTTTGTTTTTACCCCTTTTTTGTTTTTACCATTTAGACTGTTTTTACCCCTTTCTTTGCCAGTTCCCTAGAAAATCTTAGGAAGAAAAGATTTTTTCATATTCTTTTTTTTTTTTTTTTTTAAAGACTGGGTTTCACCATGTTGGTCAGGCTGGTCTTGAACTCCTGACCTCTGGTGATCCTCCCGCCTTGTCCTCCAAAGTGCTTGGATTACAGGCATGAGCCACCACGCCCGGCCGATTTTTTCATATTCTTATTGTGGTTTTTTTGTTTGTTTGTTTGTTTAAGAGATGGAACCTTGCTCTTTTGCCCAGGCTGGAGCGCAATGGCAAGATCTCTGTTCACTGCAACCTCCACCTCCCAGGTTCAAGCAATTCTCCCGCCTCCACCTCCTGAGTAGCTGGGATTACAGACACCTGCCATCATGGCTGGCTACTTTTGTATTTTTGTAGATACAGGGTTTCACCATGTTGGCCAGGCTGGTCTTGAACTCCTGACCTCAGGTGATCTGCCCGCCTCAGCCTCCCAAAGCGTTAAGATTACAGGCGTGAGCCACCGTGACCAACTATTCTTTTTAAATATAAGTTTGATAATTCTTTAAAATGATCTGCTTTTATAATTATAAAAGAGAAGCCAGCACCATGAGTCAGCATATTATTCTGTTCAGTTTTATGGGTATGATATAAATGTTAGGTGACCAAACTGATTTTAGTGACCTCAATCTTAAAATCTAAGCCATTTGTTTAGCTTTTTATGACATTTTATGATGTTGAAGGGAGAACTTTAGAGCTGTTATCTCATCTAGAGATTGTTTGGAACATATATCTTCCAGAAAAATCAGGTTGATAGGCTCACAATCATTTATTTCTACATTTTTTTTGGGGGGGGCGGTTTGAGACAAGGTCTCACTCTGTCACCCAGGCTGGAGTGTGGTAGCGTGATCACAGCAGATCACTGCAGCCTTGACCCCCCGGGCTCAAGCAGTCCTCCCACTTCAACCTCCTGAGTAGCTGGGACTACAAGTAGGCACCACCATGCCCAGCTAATTTTTAAATTTTTTTGTAGAGACAAGGTCTCACTATGTTGCCCAGGCTGGTCTCAACCTCTTGGGCTTAAGCGATTCTCTTGCCTTGGCCTCCCAAAGTGCTGGGATTATAGATGTAAGCCCCACACCTGGCCTTACTTCTATATTTTGAAATATGTATGATCCAATCTAGAATTATAGTTGTTATATTGACATTTGTCTTTGAATAATCTTAAATAAAGATTTCGATTTGTGATGGTTTCAAAATCACCTAAAGATATTTTGGCACCCCTTCCTGACTAACACGGTGAAACCCTGTCTCTACTAAAAATATAAAAACTTAGGCCGAGCAAGGTGGCCGTACCTGTAGTCCCAGCTACTCTGGAGGCTGAGTCAAGAGAATCGCTTGAACCTGGGAGGCGGAAGTTGCAGTGAAGTGAGATCGTGCCACTGCACACCAGCCTGGGCAACAGAGTGAGACTCCCCAAAACAAAAAACTATGTATATATATATATGTATGTATTGGCACCTGGCTCTTAGTACTTTTCAACTCACTCACAAAATTTACTTTGGTTCCCTATAGGGGAAAAATTTTATTTATTTTTTCTTTTGAGACAGTCTTGCTCTGTTACCCAGGGTGCAGTGGCGCAGACTTGGCTCACCACAATCTCTACCTCCAGGGTTCAAGCGATTCTTGTGCCTCAGCCTCTTGAGTAGCTGAGATTACAGGTATGTACCACCATGCCCAGCTAATATTTTGTATCTTGAGTAGAGAGAGGTTTCTCTGTGTTGGCTAGGGTGGTCTCAAACTTCTGGGGCTCAAGTAACCCACCCACCTCAGCCTCCCAAAGTGCTGGGATTATAGGTGTGAGCCTGCACACCCAGCCATATTTATATATTTATTTTTAAACTTTTAGGTTCAGAGGTACATGTGAAGGTTTGTTACATAGGTAAACTCATGTCACAGGGGTTTGTTATACAGACTGTTTCATCACCCAGGAATTAAAGTCAGTACCCAATAGTTACCTTTTCTGCTTCTCTCCTTCCCCCCACCTTATACCCTCAGGTAGACCCAGTGTGTGTATCTTGGTTCCTTTTTTTTTTTTTTTTTAAATGGAGCCTTGCTCTGTTGCCCAGGTTGTAGTGCAATGGCAGGATCTTGGCTCACTGCAACCTCTGCCTCCCGGGTTCAAGTGATTCTCCTGCCTCAGCCTCCCGAGTAGCTGGCCTTACAGGTATTCGCCATCAGGCCCAGGTAATTTTTTCTATTTTTAGTAGAGAGGGGTTTTACCATGTTGGCCAGGCTGGTCTCTAACTCCTGACCTTGTGATCTGCCTGCTTCAGCCTCCCAAAGTGCTGGAATTACAGGCATGATCCACCATGCCTGGCGTGTTTTTTAATTTGTGTTCGTAAATTCTCATCATTTAGCTTCCACTTAGGAGTGAGAACATGCAGTATTTGGTTTTCTGTTCTTGCGTTAGTTTGCTAAGAATAATAGCCTCTAGTGTCATCCATGTTCCTGCAAAATACATGATCTTGTTCTTTTTTGTGGCTGCAAAATTATTTAAATAATTGAATATTAAATACTGCGACAACTATACTTTCCAAGTGTTAGTGACAGTTGATATTTCCTATCACAGACTAAACAGTAAATTTATAAAATTACTTCAGCGTAATTATTCTTTTCTGAAATTGAATATATAGAATAGCCATCATTTACCAGGACTTGAGAGTGAAAGCAGGCACTGCTAACAATTATGCCAGTACAGAAGATACGAACCAAGACTAACTTCAAATTACTTCTCTAACATAGAATGACTGGTTGTGACTATCTTTTATGGGCCTCAAAGCATATAATTTTGTTATAATTGATGCCATCATTTTAACAAATGCCCATTATTTTATATTCTGCCTGGTCAAATCATAAAATCAAGAGTATGAAGCGTTAAGTGATAAATATCAGTGTTACCAAGCATCAGATAAGATAGGTAAGATAAGGCCGGGCGCGGTGGCTCAAGCCTGTAATCCCAGCACTTTGGGAGGCCGAGGCGGGTGGATCACGAGGTCAAGAGATCGAGACCATCCTGGTCAACACGGTGAAACCCCGTCTCTACTAAAACTACAAAAAATTAGCTGGGCATGGTGGCGCGTGCCTGTAATCCCAGCTACTCAGGAGGCTGAGGCAGGAGAATTGCCTGAACCCGGGAGGCGGAGGTTGCGGTGAGCCGAGATCGCGCCATTGCACTCCAGCCTGGGTAACAAGAGCGAAACTCCGTCTCAAAAAAAAAAAA